TGGGTCTCAATCTGCCTACTCCCAAGCAATATATGTATAATCATAACCAACATGGATATAAGTCCCATCATTACATCTAACGATTCCCATTATAAAATCGGTTTGAACAAAATTATTTAACATACCTGTATGGGTTCTAAGATGTTCGTTCAAATTGGAAGACTGGTTAAATTTTCTATTGCAAATATTGCACTCATACTTTTTTTCTGCAATATGGATATTTCTATGTTTATGGAGAGAAGATGGCAAAGCAAAATTTCTCCCACAAATTTCACAATTCAGGGGTCTCTCTCCAGTATGGCTTCTCATATGCATTACAAGAAGTTTATTCTGTCTATACCTGCAATAATCATATAATTATATATTTCTCAAATTAAGATTATATTCATTCCTGCAGTCTACTTCCAAAAAGTATAATTTGTGAAGATAGATGGTTCCTTCTCAAACAAATCTATGCCAAATGAAAACAATCTACTTAATTAATTTTTTTTTTCATCAAGAAGAGTTACATGGTTTCTGGATCTTTATGAAAGAAGATTGTTGGATGCAGGAAGAAAGAGGAATGTATTCTTTCCATTTGCCAACGTTTTTGTTTATATTTATATACTTCCTCATAACGAAAGTACTATCCACCAACACTTTTCCTACTTCGGATTGTTGTTTGGGAAGACATGATCTTCTTGTTCAAAAAGAATGTCCAGATGTTGATTTAATCTTTCATAGTTAAAATGTCAGAGTTTAAGATGCCCTAAGTCGTATGACACCCTATAAACGAATTCCTTGATCACATTCTGATAGTCCGTTCACATTTCCTATGGCAAAATATAAACAGATCTGACATATCTCCGGAACCAAAATAACTAGAGTCGATTTTTGATATCATTCAATAGTTCCTGAGAATAGACAACTTTGCCACAATTCAACCTATTCTCTATCTCTCACCATTGCATACTTTCGAATTTGAATAGCCCTGTATACTCAATTGTTTTGAAAAAAATTAAGAATTACTAAATTTTAATGAGACGCACCCCTCCCAGGGGGTGCGTACTACAAAAAATCTGAATAGTCTGAAAGGTGTCCCCCTTTAATTAGAAATCGACGTGTCCGAGCTTTTTTTAAAAATCTTACTTTTTATATTGAAAAACGGCTCTGTTAAGTTTTCGTTGTTACACACTGTATATCAGTATTTGGTAGATATACAAACTAGACATTGTTAATAAACTATAACGAATGAATAATGGCCTGCAGTGTTTACCTGAAGTTGCATCAGCCAAAATTCTATTACCTTTTTCTGAATAACAAAAACTTCAATCAGCTTTAGCTGATAAGCCACTGTTCAAGAACATAGGAAATTACTGACTGAATTAAACTGTTGTATAAAAGCTTGAGAACATCAAGAAAGAGTGTTTGTTTTAACCGACGAAATAAATATATATGTTTACTGAGCTTCAGTTTGACACTATCAAAATGGAACTTCCAGGTAAGTTTATTATCAATATCAACACCTACGAATTTAGTAAAATTAACTTGATGTGTTTCATTATTTAATCTAACCAAATAGCTTTTATCAATTGTTGTATTTTTAGTAACAAAGTTGAGCAGAAATTCAGTTACTTCGTTAGCTTTGACAATTACTTCGGATATAGTTCCCGCAGATATTAAGATGTTAGTATCGTCCACGAAAATAACAGTAATGGAAGGTTTTGAAAAAAATTTTGGAAGATCATTTATAAAAACCAAAAATAGAAGGGGTCCCAAAACAAAGCCTTGAGGTACCCCTCTTTATATACATTTTCTTTCAGAATTCATTCCATTCACTCAAACCAGCTGACTACGATCAGTCAGGTAAGTTCCAACCCAATTCAATGCAGAGCCACATATACCATAAAACTGCAATTTGTGTAACAGTATGTCATGGTCAACGAGGTCAAAGGCTTTGCTCAAATCAAAAAATAATCCTAAAGTCTGCTGTTTGTTTTCCAAGATATCCAGCGTATGTTTAATGAGTTGATCAATTGCACCAACTGTAGATTTATTTCTTCTATAAGCATTCTGACTAGAATAATTCAAAGTAATCATATAATCTTTGATAGAAACAGTATTCAATAATCTTAGAAAACTGACTAAGTAGCTATATAGGCCTGTAAGGTGCACAGTCAGATCGAAAGCCCTTATTTTTGTATATTGGCAAATCCTTTGACATTTTCAGTATATCAGGAAACCTCCCCTCAACGAGATACAAGTGAGATACAAAAAAAAACTGTTTTCTGTACAGAAAATTACTTTTGTTCAATATGATTGTTATATAATATTGTTCTCTTTTTGTGAATTGAAGATTATTATTACTTAGTGTATAAAATTTTTTAGTAATTTGAAGACATACCTTTTCCCACACAGATTACAGCCAAACTTTTTGTCAGAGTCTAAAATTGAACCTGTATCAAGAAAATGAAGTTCCTTAAGGTGCCTCTTCAAATATTTAGAGTTACTGAAATTTCCATCACACAACTGCAACAGCAAATCTTACACTGACAAATTAAGAATGAATTAATCAATTACATCACATGTAAAGTCCTGTTTGCGTTCGACAGCCAACTCATTTTTGTTATTCACAAATGTGTGGTCAATGAGATGCTTGTCCAATTCATTAGAAGTATCACAAATCTTCCTGCATATGTTGCAAAAATATTTGGGTTGTCCACTGTGGTTTTTCATATGTTCTCCTAAAGACCACTCATCTGAAAGTATAAAAGAAATTTTAAATTGTACAGATAAATATTTCCAATAGTATGTAAGCAGTAGACTTGTAGGATTCATTCAGAAAATGACAAAATATATACCACAATTTCACATTATACTGTTTTATCAAAAATAACAATTATTGAATTAACTGTTACAGAAATCTTCATTTAGATTATGCTCATAATGATCAGAGAACAGAGAATTGTGTTAAACGTTACACTTGCTATCTCCTCCGATTATGCCCGATTGGGAAGCAATGGACAATAACATTACAAATCTAAAGAAATTAACTTTCAAGCCAGTCTCGGATATACCTACACAGTAGGTTGAATGGACTGACAAACTGCATATCCGAAATTTGCCCGATTCCTCTGAATAAGAAAGAAAAACTTTCTTATTAGTCAGTGGGCTATGCTTGAAGACTTTAAACGTTCAAGCCAGTCTCAGATATACCTACACAGTAGGTTGAATGGACTGACGCCTATCAGAAAACAACTACTCCCCTTGCTATTACCACGATTATACGGATATACGATTATACAGATTATATCCGACGCCTATCGTGGTATTAGCCAGGGGAGTAGTTGTTTTCTGATAGACGTCAGTCCATTCAACCTACTGTTTAGGTATATGCGAGACTGGTTTGAACATTTAAAGTTAATTTCTTTAGATTTGTTTACTGTCATTCTTCAAGCATAGCCTACTGATTAATAGGCAAATAACATTACAGTTGTGATTTGAAACATTTAATGATCCGGCTCACTTCAGTGATAAGCAACTTTGTTTACCTCCACATATAAAAACAATTAATTGAACAAGAATTAATAAAATTTACATTTTATTTGTGCAGATTTCGATATGTCAAATCTGAGTGTGGTATTAATAAGATGAGAAATTCCACTTTCTTTTTATAATTCAAATCTGCACATTGCGTTCAATCCGGAAATAGATGGAACTTGTCGATTCAGCACTCTTTTAAATTATAGATGGTAGATTTTGAATAAAAAAATGAAGGTGGCATTTCTTATCTTTTCAATACCCATATAAATTTGACAACAGAGCAATCATTTCCTTGATTAATTTTGTAACAATGACAATAAAACCAATGAAAAAAATTCCTTGTTAAAGTATCATTTACTTTCATAAACAATTATGATGTAGTTTGTTGAAAGATGTAATTTTAAAGAAATTAAAGTTTTGAATGGAAAAAATGGTAGTGGCGAGTGAATACAGGTCTGCAGTGTTCAATAGCAAAAAGAAGATGTCATTTCATGAGTTTTTATTATCAGAAGTGAGTTTCTGAATGAGAAAATTTTTGACTTTTGGATGGTTCTATTTCTCAAAGTAGATCAAAGCATCATGTTTTGTCTTCAGATTCATGATGAACGGACACACACATATATAAGTAAAAAAAAATTGAAAAAAGGGAGAACCGTGTATCCAAATGATTACCTTTCTTTCCATTTGAAGTGATATGTAGATTTCAATGCTTTAGACTTCAGACTAATTAACTCGAAAAAGATCTGAAGTACTTACCTTTAAAAATATTTTCACAGAATTCACATTTATATATAGGGCCTAAGAAATTATCACTAGTTTCATCTGAGTTACAAGGAACAATGTTACCATCACTTTCCCATGATTCAGGTAAACACTGTTCGGCTATTGTTTGCAAACTTTGCATCGTTTCTGCCAAATCTGAAACAACTGAAAATTAAAACTATCTATACTATAATTCCAGAATAGTAGGCACTAAATTCTCAAAATTACTGACTTTTTACATTAATATGTCTCTTGCAGTTGGGTACGGAAATTATGCTCAACACATGAGGAAAAATGATTATAAAATATATAGAATCACAACCTTGACAATGTTTTCATTTTAATGCAATAATATTTCTGAGAATTTAGTGCCTGCCTACTATCATGGAACTGTACTATAGTACTTGTAGTTGTAGATGATACCTAATTCATTACTATTGGAAACCTAACCTGTGCTAGCATTTTGATTGGTGAAAGTTTCAACTAAAGAATGAGTTGTAGCATCGTTAAAAATATCTTGAAATAGGGAACTTTGCTGAAGTACTTCGCTGGTGCTAAATAAATCAGATTTCACTTCATTTATTATGTTATCTGCTGGTAGGGAAATAGGCTGCAAGTTGATACTCAAATAGTTTCTTATGGTCATATCAGACTTTTCACATAGTTGTTTGAATGTGTATGCTTTATTAATACTTTGGAGGCATTGGGTACATACTTGATGTGGTAGACCATCACCTTGTATTACCTGTAAGTTTTTGAAATTTATTTGAATACAGCATTTTCTAAAGCCGAAATTAGTCTGCTTGTAGCAGTTACAGACAGTTACCTGCACTGAGGCACAGGTCATTAACATGTTTGCTATACAATCTTCGAACAATGGTCTCAAATTAGCCTTTTCCAATAGACATGTACGACAAATTTTATCCAATTTCATTATAACTATCAAAAAATCAATTGATTTTTTTAATAATCAACCAAGTAATTGTCAACTACAAACGTAAACAATTTTCTAACCTTCTTTTACCCAGATTTTTTTCAGTGACGTTATAATATGGACTGGCCGTTGAAGAGAAAACATCAACTTCAACAACTAAAAAAAGATGAAGAGATTCATGTCTTGGCATTTACGTCATTCATAGATTTTTTAACGTCTACTGTCGCGATGTTTTACGTGTTGCATATGTCCACTGTTGAAATCTTAGACAAGGAAAGATATATGGACTCGTAACAACCAACAGCATGCTGAGGCAAATCTGCACCAAACGCTAAACGCCAGTGGCGTATCTATGAGAAGGGTTCAAGACATAATCCTTCCATAATCTATATATCAAAGCAGTATGGACTGAATTATTTTATCGCCTCATCATATGGAGTCTTGAGTAAAAGTAATAAATAAATAAAAGACTTCCGGTGTATTGTTATAGGTATTTCACCTATAAACGATGAGATTGGAACCTTTGGTGTAAAAGTTGAAACTACTTCTAGATATTAATTACCCTAACACCAAAACTGATATATTTGCACTTGACGCGCGTTGCGCTAACTAGCATCTTCAGAAGAAAATTGATACTGTTAGCGAAACGTGCGTCGAGTGAAAACATCAGTTTTGGTGTTAGGGTCTAGAAAAAGTGTTTGTATTTCACTTGACACATTAATTGAATTTTAAGACTTATATTTATTGCACTTTCAGATTAATTCACACTTTATACCAATTATTATGAATANAGGCTTGGGGAAGTAGGGAGAAATGTCATCAGTGTCAAATACGTCAGCATTGTAAAAACTGAAACTCGTGGACACCAACATCAAAGGGGCCGACGCTAAGTGGGACTACTGTATATAAGTATACTGTGCTTTTGCTGTCAGCCTTTTACCACATACTGTGTGTGCCTTTATTTTATGATCAAATTTCTTGGTTAGTAGTTTCCATTTTCTCGTCGTGGTGACTGGACGTATATTGGCTGTTCTAATCTCCGAGGGAACGGAAACTCACACCGCCATAGCACGTCCAAGTAAAAAATAATTAATTGTGTAGTGATAGTTCAATCGGCTGTGTATGTATATCCGTCGTCGGAAGACATGCAAGCAATATATAAAATTAGGAAGCATCAATAAGGAGTGCAGTATTGTCCAAAGCACTCCCGACAAAGATAGCTAAGGACCATAGGATAAAAATAACTGCTTTACAATCTGAACGTTTTAATGAATTGCTTGTCATTAAGCATTTATTGGTGGATTTTTGGCAAACAAAAAATGCCAGAAACTACATGAAAGCTATATTTAGTTGATGATTATTCAAATTCTCAAAAAAAATTTACAAAACCAAGGACAAAGATAATACCAGATCGTTTTTTTATGGGAAAGCAAGCTCAGGTCCTATGGAAGTAATGTCGAAAATCGAGTCCAAGGGCTATTACGTGACATCGATGATGAATACGTGTTGATTTCTTCCAAAAGTAGAGGCTGCCATTAAAATTTGAAAAAAGAAAATTCAATTTTCATTTATAAAAGAGGGTACATTGTTCATCTGTAAGATACACACCTTATAGTGGTTTCTATTCAAATTAATAAGCACTTCTGAGTTTCTTTCCATTCCTCTTTTGAATAAAATATTACAATCGTTTCTTTTGTTCAAAGAAAGTTCTGTCACATCTATCTTTCAGTTATATTTTCACGTCATAAATATTTAGAACATTAATAAAAACTTCTGAAAAAAGCTATATGGTTTTTACTTCTCCATGTTTATATAAAAAAATGTTTTGAACATTTTGATCGAAATTGTTTCGAAAGAATTATTTTCTTTCGTGTAATTCAATGTTTATATGAAAGTAGCTGTTTCAGGAGGACTTTCTTTCAGTTTGTGTCTAAAAGTTACTTATTTGCATGATCTACACATTCATGTATGGAGTTTCAAATTGATTACTTCCTTCCTTTCTTTGGAAGATTCTCTCATCCCTTTTTTTTTGTATCAGATGAAGTAGTAGAAAGCCAAAAACTTTCTTTCCCAAAAAATTAATCACTCCTAAAAATATAACCCCTTCAATTCGAAAATTTATGATTTCATTCCATTCAATTACGGAAAGTTCAGTATCCCATTCCGGTAGCAAACAATACCTGGCATTACTCTTTGGTTTTTAATTTTTTTTACGCATTCGATTCTTCATTCTATTCTCATTTAATTAAAACCATTTCAGTTCAAAATTTGTTTTTTTCACAGAAGACGTTGAACTGGATTTATGGAATTCATACCCACATTTTTTATTTTTTGTCATTCTTCCATATTATTTCTTATGTGACTCATTCCAATATATGGTTCTGGTTTTTAAATATTTTCAATATTTCATTCGTTTTGATAGTCAGAACATCAATCAGTCAGAGGATCGATCTTGGTTTTAGACCAAAAATATCGTGGTGGATTTTTGGAAAGATTATTTTAAATTTTCCTATTTTGTAGCTCGAATATTGTTCAAACATAAACATTTCACAAGCTGAATAAAAGCTATATTTCGATTATGATGAACATGTAAAAAGGATTCGAATTCTCAATGAAATTTTCACAAAACCAAAGATAAATAGAAAAAACGTGAAAAACAACATGGACTAGTATATTCTGTGGCAGTGATGTCCACAATAACATGCGTTCTATGGTAAACGCCTGGAGAATATTTTAAATCACATAGATATAGGCAAGTATATATTTCTCACATAGATTCCAAGGTAAACTTTCCCTCAATTTAGAGAATACCAAATCGTTTTTACGACGAGAAAACAAGCTTAGGTTCTATGGGAGTAATATAGAGTCCCATATGTGCTTACTTGAACTTTTCAATCACCCATTTAATTAGTGTCATTTCAGAAAAACAATTTATTAATAAACAATTAGTGGCAATGGCCAAAGCGCCAACCAGAGAGGTCGTGTTCGCATACCCCAAGAAGATTAAGAACAACAATCCATGATCCACGAATTATTTCAATTTTTAGGTTAGGTGACGGTTTGTTGTGTTATGAAATTGGGTTTTTGCTTTGAAAAATGGTAAGAGCAATACATCATCAACAAACTGTAAATAAATTTGTCTTCTTTTAGCCTAAAATTAAGCAGATTGAAAAATGTAAACACCCTAACAGCAGAAAAACTAAAGCTTTGGCAAAACAAATGAAAAAGTAAGGTTATATTTACTTTATACATTTTCTTCAAATTAAATTTAGGACTTGATATTATCAATTTCTAGTATTAACAAAGTATTCTGCAACTATATACGGAATACTGTGGCATAGATATCAGTATGTACAAATATCTTGCAATGAGAATAGCGGTCAAAACACAATTCACCACTCTCATCTTGCACCTGTGGAAGTTGGAGTTCCTCAGGGGAGTGTTTTTGCTCCAGCTCTATTTTCAATCTATATAGCAAACATTGTAAAATACCTCTCACATTTTAAATTAATGTTATATGTTGATGATCTCTCCATATTAGTATCACAAAAATCTCACGATCTCAATCAACAAGCTTGCAATGACCTCATGGAAAAAATCATTCTATGGTTCTCCATTATTAGTCTTTATATCAATGCTAGCAAGACACAGTTTATTATTTACCACACAAAACAGAGAACGGCTGAAAATATAGAGATTAATTTAGGGGAAACGACTCTAGAGAAGTGCCACACCATTAAATTTCTAAGTGTAACTATGAGTGATACACTTGATTGGGAATCTCACATAAGTGAAACAATAAAAAAAAATTGAACAGTAAGCTTTACCAGATCAGATGTCTTCAGAGAGTAATTAATATAAATGTTCGTAGAAATTATCATTTTGCGGAAATATAATCCCGACTATCATATGGAATTTTGTTATGGGGCATGTCGTCTTCAGCACAAAAACTATTCCTAGTACAAAAAAAAATGCATACGTGCAATGTTAAATAAAAATCAGAGAGAATCATGCAAACCTCTTTTTAAAAAATTGAATATACTCCCACTTTTCTGCATATATATATTGGAAGTTTCCTGTTATATACATAAAAACAGAAACAAAATTATCTGTCATAATGACATCCACAATTACGCAACAAGATTCAGTCATCATCTTTACACACCCCGAAATCAGTTAAATATATGCCTGTATGGCCCTATTTCCAATGGAATTATGGTTTACAATCACCTATTGACAAAAATCGATCAGGAGGTATCTTACTTCAGATTCAGAAAAATGGTGAAAACATACTTACTGGATAACTCGAATTATTCAATGGACGAGTTCTTATCTTCGTAGTGAACTCTCTTTGGTCCTTATAGCATTTTAAAGTACATGTATTGTTTGCCTAATCTATGTTCAAATTTCTTTTGACTTGTTTTATGCCTTTTAGGTCTTTGAAACCAATAAAGATTATTATTATTATTATTGCGTCAAAAGTGTAGCTACTATTGTATGTATTAGGTATATTGTTTGAACATTTTCTTAAATTCATAAGTAGATGTATGTTAAATGTTGTGTTAAGTGTATGGTTAAAATATAATATAAATTGCATACAAAGTAAATAACTTGGAATCAAAATAATGGCTTCTTGTTCGGTTTTCAGGCAACATGGTAGAGAAAAGAGTAAACTCTCGAACAACATTAAACTGAATTTGTTAGGAGAAAAGATTTTGTGGTTCAAAGATAACTTGAATTCTCAATGTAGTACTTGTACTCCAAAAGACATTCGTGAATTGATTGTAAAATACATATCAAGGTTTGATGAAGAATTGGAACAAATTCACATCAAGCATTCAATTGGTAACAGAAAAAATAGACAACACGCTAACAGAGAAGATGTTATTAATCTAACAATTAAAAAAGAACAAGACGAATATGACTCTTGTGGAATAGGTAGGTAATTTTTTGATTACATGTAAATATTTTCTTTGAGAATTTAAAAATAGTAAATACCCAACAGTCAATTTATTGTAATTTTTATTCTCTACAACTATTTTATGAATAAGAATACTTTGATGATTGTTCAACTTTCCAGAAATTCCCAATTTGCTGGACCCGGGACAGTTTGATTTGCTCAAAACATGGAAAGGTGAACTTAGATATTTACAAAACTTCAAATTAAGAAGGTTTAGTAAAAGGAGTTTAGAAGAAGAAGAAAGAAAACTTGCAAAATCTGGGAGACCAAAAGCTGTTTTAATGGAAGATACTTGTGAACATGAAACTGTCAATATGAATACAAATTTATTAGAGAAAAGTGAAGATATTTTGGCAACACAACAAACTATGGATATTGGAAGTTAGAAAAATATACTATCTTTAAAACCTGTCTTTCCATTACAAACATTTCATCCACTATAAATACTACCATCAAATATTCAGACCAGGGAATTCAGCTCATTCATATGTGTACATATAATAATTAACTATAATAATAGAAAATAATAGACTTCCGACTTGTATATTCCATGTTTTTCTGATTTGTTCATTTAATGTTTTTATGACTTGTCTGTTCCATGTTTTCATGACATACCTTCCAACACTCTCTTGCCCTTTACTAATTTGTAGGATTGTTATATTCTTCTGAACTTTGTTTTCGTTATTCTCAAGTGATTTGCCTCTTGCGATTATGTGCCTCAAATTCACATTATGCATGATCTACCTATGTTCTTTCGATGTCTGCAGCCACGGATTATGTTTCACAGCCCTAAATAAGGCTTTGAACAAATATTGTCTAGTGATTAGCCACATAACTATTCTGAGCCACTCTCCACTCTGCTCAAGAAGTTCATTTCTCAGGTGGTCCCATCAAAAAGGGTTCTAATTGTGGGTTCACAGGTATATGTTCCCAGTACTCTTATTTCTTATTGACCCATTTCCTGAACTGATCCTGTACCAAGGATTTCGGTGACCCCCACAACAGGTTCGGAGCTTATGTTACGGAGTTAATGATAAATGACTAGCTAGCACACTCATCAGCCCTTTTGTTGCCTGTCTGTTCCAAATTAATATCCTATGCACCACGAAGCAATGCATACACTTCCACATCTACCTGGTAGGATGTGTATTGGCTGACCGACTAGCTGCAATGCAAATTTTGTTCGACCAGTCCGGTCAACCTTCTAATTAGGCAGATTTCAGGAAAAAATTTATCACGTTCTTCCACCAACTAAATTATTATTCAACATGTTCATTCACTAAATCTAAAGACACATTTTAATCCCTAAATTACCTCTTTGGTTGATGGTTCCTTGTATCAATTTTCCTATACCTTTAATTTATACAGAGTGATACAAATTACATAAAAATTTCAAGTTCATCCCACACAATAAGACAAGACCTAGCATAATTAATGCTTAAGCAATCCATCTGTTTTTAAGGTTGATTTCATTTGTTTCATAGCGAAATGGGCTTTATTCAAATTTGAACAGACACTTTTAATGGGTCTATTCCAATAAATGAATGCTTAAAAATTTTGTGGAGATTTGGATGGTGTCAATTGTTACAAAAAGACCCATCAAGTAAACTTTGGTAAAAAAAATGACGAATGCCGATTTGAACGTGTTTACAATTAACTCATTTCTTTAACACTGAAAAGAAAGTTATTAATAATAAAATAACTTTGGCACAAAAATCGCAGAAAAATGTTTGCACATTATACAGTTAGAAAGATACAAAAATGATTGAATTTGGGGTCTATTTACCCTTTCAATATGTTCAATGAGAAAACAAATTTCTTTTTGGTCTACTTTTTTGTGTGCTGAAGACCCTTATAAAATATTAGAGTTGTACAGAACAGACAATCTCAAGAATTATTCAAATGAAAGATAAATTTCTGAAAAAGTTTTTTCCAGCCTTTTCTTTGTTACTCTATTTGTGGTACTGAATTCTCATCTCAATACAAAAACTCATTACCAACAAATTCTTTTTTTTAAGATATTTGCAAAATATTCCTGTTTTGAATCTTTCTCGATCGAGGTACATATTTCTTCTAGAGATATGCTGCGAGATAAAATCAAATTTGGAAATATGTTACTATAGTCCAGTCATTTAAGGTTTTATCTGCGGAAAAATTCCTACTGAGCTGAATTTTGGTATACACTTTCATTATAGCGTTTTAAGGTAAAAAGGCCACGAAAATCAGTTTTTCGGTAATATATGGCGACCTATGGCTCGGAGGTCAATAAAGGTCGTTATAAAAATTATTCCTCATACGATTATCTACAAAAAATGTATCTTGCATTTTTCTGTAAAGTCAACCGTTTCGGACTAGAGCGCTGAGAAAGCGACTACATTATGATTATGCACTCGTTTCCGCACCTCCTTTGAGGTAGAATGCAAGGCGCGTTTTTTTTACATTGTTTCCCCTGTAGGCATAATCCATGAACTGTAATAAAAGGTTTTTTTTATTTTATGCTCAATAATTTTTTATTTGTACATAGAAAAATAGAGAAAAAAATGTATATAATTTTCTTTTATATTCATTCGTCGTCGATATCCTCAATTTCATCTTCATCATTTTCTTCACTAGTGGACTCGGCGTTTAAGCATGACTGACCACGACAATGTCCACAAGCTTTAGAACATCTCAATCCATTTTTTTTACATCCACATTTGCCGCCACAACCTTTTGTACAATTACAAAAGATTGTGTTTAGTAGATCATCGGGTGTTTGATGGAATATTTCTGCAGAATTGTGTAAATCAGGTAATTTTTCAAACATCTTCATGACTTTAATTTTTCCTTTCCCAAAAAGTGTTGAAGTTGTGTCACATCCGGTCATAGCATATAGAAACAGAATATTTTCTTGCAGTGTTGCAGTTTTTCTTGACTGATAGGAACTTGATTCATTGAAGTGCACTTCACAAGATGTAGAAACGGCTGCGGTTCGTCTTAGTTGTTCCATCGCTTTGATATATATTTTTATTGGTATCAGAGTAACCATCAAATATGACAATAGTATTTTAACCAAAATTGTTTGATAAATAATTGATATATTTGTTAATGATAATATTGAATGTATCATTTTTTGGCCATACAACACGATGCATAAGAAATCCACCATCAATTATGTATGTTGCATTATCACAAACTAATTGATAATTAATTGGCTCGATATATTTTTAATTTCCGAGTTTTTTCATGCCAACATTATCGAATAGTACTGTTGGATATGGACTTCATTCATATTGTAAATATTCACAAAGATTTTCCTCAAATTTTTTATTTAAACTAATTCGTTGAAATAGCAATAACGGATCGATGGGTACCTGAAAGTTATGAACCATGATAGAAGTGTTTACTGATGATAATGGAAGAACTCTGTCAGAAGCTTTTTAATGTAATTTTGTCGAATGTTACACCTATCATTTTTTTAATTGACTGCAGACCAATTTCTTTTGCATTATAACAGTTGATTTGATTATTGCCAACAATTCCTGTTGATATAGAAACTACTTCATTGCAAGTTGAAAAAGATTATGTAAAGTAAACCACTCTACAAGTTTTTCAATGTCATTATTATCTCTTTCAATGCGTGAATCTCTTGAGTCGACATGTTGATTCGCGGTATCAAATGAGAGGTCGCAAAATTTTTCAATTTCTTCACAAATTGCATTTGTTGTATGCATGCCATATATCCACTTACATAAGACGCTTTCATGAGTACTCCTTCCTCGAGAAACCCCTCCTTCAGTTTTCATGAACTTCATCAAACTTTGTTCAATAGTCATATCAGTCCAGGTTCCACAGTTAAATTTATTTGTACGTCTTACTGCAAATGTTTTTGTGAAGTTCATATAATATTGATTATCCAGCTTATCTTTCCAAGCTATCATATCCTGCAAGTATAAATGTGCAGATTTAGCATACAGGAAATGACCAGATGCCTGAAAATATAGAAGCATTTGCTGAACACTTAGATGATCATTCCATAACCCTAGTCTCTCAGCACGAATGAAATCATTAGCTATTGATGTCATTTCAATGTATTGTAGCCATAACTGAGCAGTAGGACCACCGACTTTCAATTTAGCTACTTCATCATTAAATAACTGTATTACTTCATTTGAAACGTCTTCAGATTCTTCAATATTATCATATGACATCGTCCCTCTCATAATGTCCATCATGTAACCATCCAAGAAATGCTGCAGATTTTATCGATTTTTAATTTATCATAAATAAGCTTCATTAGTGCAACTCTAACAAGTCCATGCCCTCTTACACATCTAACATTTTGTCAACTGAATTTGGAGAAAAAATTACACTAAGAGCTTATTTGAGTCCACTTCCTTCCATTATATATCCTAAAGTATTGATAAAAAGCAATAGAGTTGACGCCTTATATGTATATGGTATACAATACCCGAGTGCATTCTACTCGCTTTCTCAGCGCTCTAGTCCGAAAACGGTTGACTTTACAGAAAAATGCAAGAGACATTTTTTCTAGATAATCGAATGAGGAATAATTTTTATAATGACCTTTATTGACCTTCGAGCCATAGGTCGCGAGATATTCGCGAAAAACTGATGTTCGTGACCTTTTGACCTTTATAACTTTTTTAGCGGGCACGGTTTTAATGTCGATTTCACATTTTCATTAAAACGCCATAATGAAGGTGTATACCAAAATTCAGCTCAGAAGGAATTTTTCTGCAGATTGAGGTTTAAAAAACCTAAAATGACTAGATTACTGGTAAACCTAGTTGACAACATTTAAAAATAATAGAGTTTAAAGAGAAGCAATTTATCTTTTGAAGAATATTTACAGGATAATATGCAGAAAATATAATATATTAAAGTTTACACTTCATAATAGATTTTCTTGAATACAAATTAAAATATTTACCTATCTTATAGTAATAGAAATGGTTAAAAACTGACACTGTAATCTTAATGAAAATTAATCAAGGAATCTTTCATATTTCTCTGTCAGTGCTTGTGGCATTTGAATTTTTTGACAGCAGCATGTAAATATTCTAACAAATTTTCAATATTGTTTTCAGGTCTCAAAGTTCCATTATAAGGATATTTATCAAGTATTTCATTACACATTTTTCCTTCTTGGCAATAATAAGATGACAACAGCACAGAAGGTTTCTCTGCTGGAAAATTTGGACCTAAAAATACCAGAAACATTTAATTATTCTGATATCAAGAATAATTTGCACAGAATTTGTGTAGTATTAATGCAATGTGAGAATAAAACATACAAACTTGAAAAAAGCAGATACAAGAGGGTTTTTGATATTCGAGTGCATTCAGAACTGAAATATTTATCAACTTTAGTTCAATTTCTTTCAAAATTATCACTTAATATTTATAGACTTTTTTAGTTACTGAATCTTTACGGTTGAACAAAATGATTGAAAGTGACTAAACATTGATTACTGCCATAAAAATACTGTAGTTACAAATATTCAAATTTCAGCTGTTTAATTCATTTATTGTAATATTCATTTAGAGGAATATAAATCAGCTCTTCATAATTACTAGTGTATTCAAAAAATATTGTTCGAAGAGCCATTGCAATAAATATATCCCAAATAAATATAGTTTAAAAAACTAAAAAACACGCTTTTAAAGAACATCGAACTGAAAAGTTGAAAATATTTTTTTAATGAGCTTAAAACAATACGGACGAAAAATACTATTAATATTTTAAAGAAAGCGATGGACACTTGATATACATAAAATATGGATTTTTAGTTTTTTAAACTATATTTATTTTTCAGTTTCGTATGCTATAAAAGCGTGTTTTTTAGTCTTTTTAAACTATATTTATTTTATCTAAACTTTGGGATCAATCAGCCGTATATTGTTTAGAAAAAAAAATGACCATTGATATTTTCCGATTCCGGAGAGAGAGCCTGAAAATCAGTTACCTAGCCCAAGGAACGCAGAAGGCGCGCAAAGGAGGGTTACAAATTAGGCAGCAGGCGCGCATGTTAATGAAAAAAATACTTTTTTCAAATCAAGAAATACATGTAAAGTGAGTTCGAATTATATCAAGGTTACGACAGAACCATCTGCCCGGGAATAGATCAAGCAATAATGTCGATAATTCTGTCAAATACAGATCCCGAGCTTGAGAGTTACAAACAAACATAAAGATGAAATTAATAAAAGCGTGTTAAAAAAAAGCAGTTTCCCAGAAAATTTTAAAAATAGCAATAAAGAAATGAACAATTGAATTCAATTGTATAATTAACTGGCAAATGTATGTTTTGTCATGAACACTTCAACTAAGATCATTTTACTCATATCCAACCTATTTCTTTGTTTTTCCTTAGTTATGATCATAGTTCCCTTTAATATCAACAATAAATATTAGTAAGAAATAATTTACTTTTATTATAAAATAATACTTACCTAAGGTGACAGTGACTAAACAGTTATAATCATCAACATCAAATATGAAAACAGCCTTTGAGAAAGTTTCAGAGTCGTATTCAACAATACTGCAACTGCAGATTGCAGCTATGGAGGTAATGTACACCTTTTTCATTTTATAATGATTCGCAACTGCTTTAATACGATCTTCTAATAATTTGGACACTGCAGAAACATATTCAAAAAGTGTTGTGCCTTTCTTCAACTCTGGTATATGAAGATTTTTGGAATGCTCCAAAATCTGTTGAACCCTTGGTGACAGTTGTAATGAGGCCCATGAACGATTTCTATCAAGCCTTCCAATATTCAAGGTTAGATGTGCATAATCTTCACCAGGATTATAAAAAGAACCAAAACATTTATCCCTGAAAAAAACTGTTCACTTCGACACATATGTTCTGGGTTCTAGGTGTTATTGTTGTAAGTATACTCACAAAGGTTGTATATATTCTGGTAAAGAACTGCAATCAACTGCAAGGGAAATGAAAAACACAGTATTATTGCCATCTATACTAACTTCAATATTTTGTGGATCTATTCCATTTTCTTTTGTTGTTATCATCTCATATTCATCCCACAACTTAGAATAAATATTTTCCATTCGAAATTTTTCCAACTGAAATAACCAAAAATAAATTTAAACATGTAATTATCTGTTAAAAAAAGTCTCAGGATATGAGTACTTGGTCGAAGAAAATACATTTTATAGAAAATCATCAACAATAGTAGAGCACATTTAAGTAGCTTCTTCAGACAACAATAGTATTGAACCCGGCAGAATGAAATGTTACTCAATTAGTTACCAAGTATCGGCCAATTGTAACATAAAGAAGAAAGTACCAAAAAATAAAACTTATAATTGAACTAGCTTGTGATATTTAAAACCAACTTATTCAATTAAAGCTATACTCAAATAATAATTGGTAAAAACTAATTACTCTTACAAGTTGGAACAACTATAGCCAGGCGTTGCTTGAGGTTTATCTATTTTCATTTGACAAGGTTACTAGAAATGGCGAAAGTGGGGAACGTTCTACAGACTTTAACCTGGTTAAGCAGCTTTGCGAGGCTTGAAAAAGTCATTTTAGTTATGTGTCTACACATTGAACAAGATACCAGAGATAGTTGAGCGAACTAAGGAAATGATGAAATAGTTGAGTTTCAAATGTTACTAAAGATTGAGAACGAGTATTTCTAGTTCCATTTTTGTCTGTTGAATAAATCTGTTAATCAATGCTGGTTACATTCACAAAGCCCATGACTTTTCTTCCTGCTATAATATGTTTTATCTATTTACATATTTTTTTAGATACTTGTTGATATTGATCCAATAATACCTATTGTATAGATGTTGAGGAACGCAATTTCTATTACATAATTTTTTCAAGATGAAAGTGCTGACGAAAAGGCATTAGATCATTTTGAAACAAAATTGCTCTACACCTGCATTACAAGAATATCCTATGTCATGAGTTCACCAATTGATTACTTATTTTTCTGCTTGTTCAAGTCGCAGGAAAAAGCACTTATTTCAACAAACTGGTTCCCTGTACTAGTTTGTCAAGTCCCTTTTTGGATATTTGTTATATTCTTTTGTCCATAAATTGTTTGCCTCCTGTGCCCCATATTCACAAAAAAACATGATGAGTTGTCAATGTCCCTTTGTTGCATTGTCTACATCCAAGGTCATCATTATACAGCCCTCTTTAGTAGTTGAAAAATCGGTAGTTTGTTTTTATAAACAGTTATGTCTGGAATCCTTCGAGGATCTGATTCCGGGCTTTAATTTATTGACCAATGACATTGAATCCAACTTTGACAATAGTTTCCTATAATTTGCAGACAACCTGAAGATATTTGAAACAATTTCTAATCTTGAAGATGTTTAAGCTGAAGATGCAATCAACAATCGATTTGTTTTATCATTGGTGTGTCAAAAATGACCTTACGCTGAATATAAGGAAATGCTATCAGATTACTTTTTCCCGGAACACATCAACCATAGGTTTTACTCATCATCTCGATAAAATACTGATCCAAAAAGTATATGAAATATACAGTCTAGGTGTTACACTTGATACGAAATTGACATTTTACTCTTACATCAATAATATTTTATCAAGATCTTTGAAAATGGTGGGTTTTGCAATCCGTTTCTCTTTTTAGATTTTTTGAAGATAGGTGTGATAATACAATTTGCGATGTGAACTGTAATGTGATCATTAAAGGTGATTTCAATATAGACTGGCTCTCTTTTTTAACAGATAGTACTAGGTTAAGAAATTTCATTTATGACATGGGTCTCAAAAACATGGTTGGTGAATGTACTTGCCCTACAAATTATGGAGGTTCAATCATTGACTTAATACTAACAAATGATGAAAATATTACAAACATCCTAGATAAACCCAGATTAACAGATCACTTTATCTGTTTAAAATCTAAAAATAATAACCATCAACTATATACATGCTGATCATAAGTGAGAGGTGAAACAAATAAAAAGATAAATATAGATATTTTCAGAAAAAACGTGTGGATATTTTGGATGAAGTTGCACCGAAAAAAAAATGTTAATATATCCAAAATTCAAAGTGTGGTGGAACGAATGTGTTGTCGAAGCTACAAGAACAGGGGGGTGAACACTGGTTTAAGAGGAAGTTCAAAGAAACTGCATATATATTGTCCAACGACGCCTTCAGCCAAGCTAGCGTAGAGATACGCAAGATATGGAAACCAGTAATCAAGCGAAAATCGGTTAACTCCTGCCAAACTGTGCACTCTCGCTAAACCGATGAAGCAAAGAGAGGGAAGAGCAGATAGGTGAAAGCACTCGAATGACCTATAAATAGTCATCTCTCGGAGGAATAGTTCAGTCATCACCCAAAGACGATTGTGGATACTAACAATCGAAACATGTGAAGTATCTAGGTTTGAAATCTTCTTCAATTTTTTAATTTATTTTTTGCTTATTTCATTTTCATTCTTTTTTGTTTATTTTTATTCTGCAGTCATTTTCATTTTGTGTCTTGATTATTTTATTTATTTCATTGTATTTCCATTTACTGGTTTTATTGCTTCATAAAATTGATATTTTAGGTATTCTTTCCAATTTTATTTGTTTTTTCATAGATTTCGAATGACGGTAAAATCATATTAGACAATGGAAGTTCCTAACTAATGAAATTCACCATGAAACATTGTCAACCACATCATCTAAAGAAACAATTTGTTCAGGCCAGTCTCAACTCCCTTCACTGTAGGTTAATGGACTGAAACCTATCAGAAAACAACTACTCTCCTGGCTGATACCACGAAGGGCGTTGGATTATATTCGACAGGTGTCAGTGCAGGATTCTTCACTGAAGTTATTCCTGCATATGCTGTTGGCGATACAACTGCTGCAATAGACTTTCAATTAATGGAACACACTTGCAGACTGGTTTCAGGCTGTTTGGCCACCCGTCAGTGCAAGGTAGTGTCCATTTATCGTGATATTAACCAGTGGAGTAGTTGTTTTCTGATAGGTGTCAGTCCATTAACTAACAGTGTAGGGAGTTGAGACTGGCCTGAACAAATTGTTCCTTCAGATGATTTGATTTATAGCCAGTCTTCACGTATGCCCACTGATTATATGTGAATTGTCAACCACTTTCAAACAAAAATGTATCAGGTATGTAGCATTTAAAATAAGGTTAACTTTTGGTACTTATTGTTTTGTTGAAATATTGTCATAACTAAATCTTGAATCACTTGAAAAACAAAGACTGGTTTTTTTTCTTAGCTTTCTTTACAAACTTTTTTCAGGTAACATCAATTGTCCTGAACTTTTTGGAGAGTTTGGGTTAAGTATTTTTGTGAAACAAACTAGAACTGTACAACCTTTTCACACACACATCTGTCACACTAATTATACCTATTTCGCTCCAGTGAACAGAATACGAAGACTTGCCTGTCTTTCAGACAGACATATTTAGATCAATATTAAAATCTTTTGAATATCAATTGTTTAAATTAGAATGTAACATAAAACAGCAATAGAACTAGTATTTAATGTGTGTAAATATTTTTTAGTTCAGGTTTAATCATTGTTTTTCAAAAATCTAAATTGAAAATTGTAAAAAAGGGTTTTACGTCGATAAATAAATATATTTTGTTCAGGTGTCCTCTTGATAGCAAATCCCTGCTTTGCTACTCTTCAGGATACTCCTACAGCTGGTTCAGGACCTATGTATGAAGTTAATGATTTGTGTGTGGGGCTAATCAACTTATTCATTGCCTGCGATACCTTAATGTCCTGGCACCTAATATAAAGACAATTTATTTTTTCAAGTGCCCTAAGTTCAGCTAAACTATCAGTGAAAATAATGATCCACTCATTTCATTGAGGCTTCCATCTGATGTTTCTAGTACATTGCAGGATTGCGTACTTCAGATGTTTTTTCAATACATAATTGTTCCAAGAATGTATAATGACAGACATTGTTTATTTCAACAATTTCAATCCTCTGAAATGAAATGAAATTCTTTTCAAAAAAACTGTAAACTTTTCAATAGGATAACTGAACAATCCTTTTTTTTGACAAACTGCAATAATATGTCAAAACTTACTTTTAATATGGGGTGGTTGAGTCTGGAACGTCATACAATTGGGTTGTTTTCAGTAACAATGGGTTCAAAGATCTTAAATACAACATTTACTCTTTTTTTTCTATTCCAAGGATCATTGAGAAATTTCAACACAGAAATTAAATACTTTGATGTTTTGAATAACAGATGTTTTATTACCTGATATTTTTTATAAAGAGCTAAAAATTGGTTCAAGACTAATGATAAAGCTTGAGGATTCTTGAGATCCCAGTTATCCAAATGTGTGACATTATTCTTAATGGTATCATAATCAGGAAATGCTAGAAATTGATCATCATTAAAATCAAAATCTGGTGGAAAGCTCAAATCTTCAGGATCAAAAATAATTTCCCATTTCAAACGCTTTCCTGCGAATGGAATTTTCATTATAAAATGGAAATTATTCAGAATGTCTTCATCAATTAACCTCATTTTAGAAACAGATATATCATTGAGGGTTACACTTGATAAACCTGAAACATAAATATTCTTAATAATTTTCACTAGAGATGGACTTGGTAGGCTTGAAAATATGGAAGTGGATGAAACTGATTTCAATGAATAATTTTTAGATACACAGTTTTTGACAGGGGAAATTTTTAAAATTTTGATAATTTTCAAATGAGCCTTCCAATTTATGTGCCGTTTTCGACGCGAAAAATAATAGACATATTTAGAGAATTTACACATGATAAAAATTTACCTATTTTACTTCCTAAACATAGTTCCTCGATGTGCTTTCGCAGACAGGAAGGGAAATTACTTAATATGTTGTCGGTATTATAAGATAGATCGGTCATTATTATTTACAGCTTGTAAATCACCTAATCAATAAGAAAAATATTCAAAAACTCATCACTGATATCTTAAAACATAAAACCTGATCACTGATAGACCCAAAGCAATCACAGAAGAGTGATCAATTAGAAAGAAGACTCGAGGGCGGCGCCTGTGATCTAAGACAGCCAATTTCGGTGACCTTCACTATTTTGTGAAAAAAATTTTTCAGAAAAACAAACAGTTCGGTATAGATGTGAATTTAATTATGCCCACTGAGGTTTGATTAGCCCTCATTTCTACTGTCTATGTTCTGAAATGGGCCAGTCAGAGATCATTTGCGCACTAGAAATATTTTAGTACAATCAAAGATGGTCAACTTCTACTCGATAATTGGTAATTTTTCTAAACTTATCCATTGGAAAGTAAGGAGTTCAACTTTCAATTGATGATTGTCACTTCACTTGCTACTTGCTAATCAAGTGTGCATAAATTCACCATAAATATCGGACCTACGACAATGAATTTCCGATCGTTCCGTGCACAGTATTCTGTATTCTGTAACTATATACAGAATACTGTGGTTCTGTGCCAGCACCCATTGCTTCCATTCAGGCGCATTAAGCCAAAATTTCGAAAACTGTTCTACATTGTTTATCTGCTTCAACTTCAGAGTAATGATAATACATAGAGTTGTCATGCCTATACGTGCCTATACCAATTCAATACATGTATTTTGAATCGGGTATCGTACTATCCTTTTCTGTACAACTTATGAAGGAGGGGGGTGGCGGGTAATGAGAGGTTATAGAGAGTTTGTTTACATTTGAAGTAAGTTGGACCATAAGACAGTGCCGGTAGGTTTAGTTGATAATCGGAGGGATATTATAATAAAGGCGTGAAGTTTGTGAGGATGGATGAATGTAATGTATATATTCACGTTTTTTACTTTTTCACACCTAAACAGCTCAACGGATTCAAATGTAAGTTGGTATATGTATGTGTAGATTATGACCTGGAATAACACATAAGGTAGATTCTCATGGTAACTCGGGTAAAACAACGAGGAACAGCTAGTATTGTATAAGTGGGTACCTATTGATTGCCCCCCAAATATGAGTTGCAGTGCTCGTGGTTCTGGTTCCCTTTCAATGGAAGAGCTTCATGAAGCAAGAGCCGAATCGATCCCTCTACGAAACCATTCTTCACTTTGGAAGGATCGATCGTAGCTTGAGAAATGGTTCTTTTATGTAGATTATGTGGAACACGTTATTCAGTAGAGGGTTGTCCTGAAAAATTTGAGAAGAAAATTGGATTAGATAATTAAGGAAACACTTGCTACATGAATAACATTTTACAAGTGTTGTTCATGACTAAAAATTTCAAGAACGAGGTTTTAATGATGAACGATAACAAGAATGTTTTCTACTTATTCACCAAACTAAAACATCTGTTCATGCAGCTGCAGTTTCGTAAGAATTTCCCTCCAACCGAATTCTTGGAGTCTTTGAAGTCCACTAGATACTCGTTAGGACAACAAGAGGGTTGTTCTGGATTCTTGGGGTTCTTGTTGAATACTCTTCATGGGCAAAACAATAGGAGAATCAATACTCCTGACCGCTCTGGATTGAATGATTCCATACAGTCTATCTCGTCTTGTGCTGGAAAAATCCTCACTTGTTTACTTTGTAGTAAATGTTCAAGAGGTATCAAAAACTTATGTGAATTTCTGGAACTTCATCTAGCGTTTCCTAATATGACTAATAACCAGTCCGTGCAAAGCTTATTGTTAAATCATCTGAAAATGGAATTTTTAACAGGTGACGATCGACTGTATTGCTAAAAATGCGCCAAACTAACTGACTGTTATAAGGAAACAAGTATAGCTGAGGCACCAGTCAATCTAATAATAACACTGATGATCTTCAAACAAGACTCAACCTATGACGGAAGCACCAAACTCGAAGGTTCAAAATAGATGAACACTTCAATCTTGCAGACCACTATTATAATATTCATGCAGTCAATTTTTCACTGTGGTTCTGGCGTTGAATTTGGTCGTTATTACGCCTTGGTCAAAGACAAAACGGACTGGTTTGAGTTTGACGATAGTCGTGTCTGTGTTCTGGCGATGTATTGAATTTTTTGGAGTCTCTGGAGACACCCTACATTTTGTTTTATGAGAGAGAGGACATTGGCAGATCAAGATCTTCAGATGACTTTCTGATTGGTGGGAATGTTTATGAAATTATTTGAATTACATCCCTTTTAAGTATGGACATTGGAAGAATTAAGTCAGTCGTGCGCAGACCCGCGAGGAGTTCGGGTCGCTTCGACCTCCGGACATGGTTCCGGAGACCCGGTGTCGTGAAGGGTTACAGATTTGTTATTATTCGCGGTTTAATTGAATTGAGGTGAAAAAGGGTAACAGCGAACGAAGTCAGTCGTGTGCGGACCCCAGGGTCGTTTGGGGGGCTCTTAACCGAGGCAGTTGGTTCCTTTGGCGAAGTTGCTGAGAAAGCTATTGTAGGGACTGAGGTGCTAGGTGTTTTAAGACACTGGGTTGCGAGGGATTCCCGTAGTGAGAAATTTTCGCGGTTTATTTGGCTAGCTGACTTGAGGTATAAGTCAGAAGCGTACGAACTCAGAAGTAGGTCGATTGGACTTCCTACGAAGTTCAGAGTGAATTCTGGAGGTACTGAAATACGAGGTAGTTCAGGACACTGTTTTGCGAGGTGTTTCGGGATTGATAAATATTTGCGATTTAGTTGAATTGAGGTAAAGGGAGTCGTACGCGGAGATTTGGTGAAAGCTGGAAATTCTAGAGGACATTTTGAGTGAATTGAAATAGTGAGATATTTCAAGTCACTGTTTAGAGAAGTGATACTTATTGGGGTTTGGAAGTATTCGCGGTTNTTTGAATGCCTTTTTAGGGTTACTTTTTTTTGGAATTGATTGGTATTTCTCTCATTCGGAATATTCTTCAAAAATTAATCATTTTTTAAAATATGAAAGAAGTGACCAATACTTAATGAAAATCCACTAGAAAGTGGAAATTCTTACAATAAAGTGTGTTTTTTAAATTCAATATTTTAAAATATACCTGTTATGAGTCATAGAAAATGTATAGTATTCAAGTCGCGAAAATACATACATACATACATAATTACTAGTTAACAATATTTCTCTTAGACGAAGGTTTCATACATGCAGTTGAGCCGCATTGAAATTAATCGAGTCCCTGGCAATTTGCTGTTTGGGTCGGATCTTTTCTGCACTGATGAGAGGTAATACTTCGAAACCGATCTGTAGGTGATCTCAAATAATTTCAGCTTGGTCCTGCTGTTGGATGAACGAGAAACATCTGCGAGGCTAGCCTCTGCGAAGTATCTTGCATAAATGTATGTCAGATATAATTCAATATCCAGCGTGGTATTAGCCGGCTAGGTAGTTGTTTTCCGCCAGGCATTCAACATAACCAATGAATATTTTGAGACTTTATTTCGGTATATTTATTTTCTATTACTAATTAGTGTTGTTTTTTGGGTGCTAAAGAAAACCAGTAGATTAACCAGAATTACTCAAAGTCTATTTTATTTTAAGTTTCAAAACACTAAAAAATTTCATCATTGACTAGATTGAATTTCAAATTTTCTCTAAAAAAGGCTATGACTATTAAAAAACGAAAAATAATTCACTAACTGATATCTCATGTCTAACTATAGGAAACTGCCACACCTCTCTGATACCTAAACATAATTTGATAACACCTTATCTATATCTTATCAGTCCTCGGAAATACAATTATAATTGTTAAGTAGTTCATTTGATATTTTAATTCACTGTGGATGTTAGTTCGTACAAAAATGAAAATGACAAACGTATCGAATATTGCAAAAATTTCAGTGGAAAAACATGAAAGTAAGGAACAGTTTTTATATGATTTAGACAAAAATATGCCATTGTGTGAATTGGTTAAAGATATTTGCAAACGTAGTGGATTGGTAAGTTGAATATTGTTTATGATTTTCATGTAATTTTGAAAAATAAAGAAATTCGCCCATTCGATTAATTTAAATTTTTTCATATATGTACCGTATGATATATTCGGTATTTAGGTACTCCCATTTTTCTGCTGTGGTCAGAAAATTTGAAAAATAACATTCTTAAGTAGGTAACAATAAGGCAAAACATTTGTAATATATTCAAAATTCAATAGTATTTTTTTATTATACTTTCTTACCAAGAAAGACATTGTCTCCAAGAAAGTGACATATACGTTCACTCAACTTGATAGTTAGTTAGTTTCTATTTCAGAATTTCCAAGCCTAAGTCTCACTTCAGCCTCTACATAGATCGTCAGTCTATCTCCAAAGGCTGTTTCCAGAACGGGTACTACTGATAATTAATTCAAACTGCTCGTGTTGGAAATGGTGGCTCTCATAACTGACCTCGTTGCTTCAGTATCGACGGAGAAAAGGCACTGGTGATTATTCAGAAATCCGTCGACAACTAAGCTGTTACTGTTGCGTTCTATGGTGGAAATCAAATACTTAGGGACTTGGGATGCAACAGCCAATATACCCTCCAAACACTGGCTGAATTTAGTTTTCTCATCTCCAACGCTCTAGTTCGGGAGATCCCGAATGCCAGCCTTTCTCCTTGGATCCTGAACGTAACCGACAGTCCCGCTTCAAATGCCCCTCTTTGCCGCAGTTATAGCATTTTGGCCGCTCTCTTGCCCTGGGTGCAGTTCCATTCATCAAATATTTCCTAAACACTTCTTCAAGACCTACCACGAGTAGAACTGTTTCTTCGTCTTCCTTTTCATTGATGGCTCTCACTAGAACTCATCGTTGTTGTCGCGAAGCATTTTTGGCAGCTTCGATTTCTAGGGCATGAATGTTGGCTTCATTCAATTTTTAATGACGTGCCTCCTCAGCGACTGCTGCAGCTCTGTGTCACGAACCCCGTCGGTGAAATGGGCACTAATCCAGTGGGTGAAGTTATCAGGTGCTTCTGGATAGCACCCGGTAATTTCAGGCCCGCTTGCAAAGCCTTAAACATTTTCTTGAGTTCTTTCATCCCGTCGTAAACGATGCACCTTGTTTTCACCATAAAACAGAACATTTTTAGTCAACTATTTCACTTCCGACACCAAATGTTACGGTTTCCCCGTGGATTTGACCATAATTGACTAGACTGTACAATTAAACTCAACTTTATTTCACCGCTACACTGACAATATAACAGAAAAACTTTACCTGAAACTTCAGACTGATACTCAATGTATATCGCCTTTTTAGATCACTGCGTACCGCACTTTCAACTAGACTTCCTCGATCTGCACGACTCAGTGCTTATATATCGTAATGGAAGTCTCGAGAAGCCGATATGGGAGTCTCTGGAAAATTTTCGAAGCGACACGACACGTATAACGACCGAGAAACACAAGTCGAGTTGAGCGTGACCTTTACCAGGTCACAATCGATTGACGAAAAACAGTGGCGGCCGGTATTTTACTATTATTGAATCTATCTATTTACTATTATTGAATGACCATTTATTATTGTAGGTGGAATTTTTCTGTGTATTTTTATTTTATATTTTGACTTGTCGTTGAACCTTGTAGAAGATTATTAAATATTATTATTTGAATGTATTTTCTAGCGAAGAGGTATTTATCATTAGGACCAGTAATAGAAAATTATACGTTGAATGCTTTCTTTTATATCAGTTATGAAGCTAGTTGTACTGAAGGGGTTTTTTCTGCCGGTTTGTATCTTAAGGTAACTTCTCTGCATGATATATACACCTTTGTGAAGAATTTATTTTGAACTTAATTGTTCTTTTCCTTCCTTCGGAAGTTTTCCATATTCTTTGTACAAAGATGGAGAAGTAGAAAGCAAAAAAAATCTTCTTTCCCGAAATATAATCCCTTCCGAAAATATATCCCTTTCAATTTTGTAAGAGTAATTATCAACAATATAACTGAATTTGAAATATACAATTTGATTATTTTCCTACCTTCATGAATTAAAATTAATTAGAATTGTTTTGCAGAAATATCAGTATTCAACATTTACTTTGTTTGGAATATCAAAATATTGTTTTCATTTAAAGAGATAAAAAAATAAAAAACTCAAAGTTATGACCTTTATTATGTACATACTTTGAAATACTTTCCTTACAAAGATAATAAATTTTACAGATATTAACAACTCATAAGTTTGAGTCACCTTTCAGATAAGAATCCTGGTTACAACTAATAAAGATATGGTTTACTAAAATGTATTTACTGCGAATGAGATATTTTTACATTACTTCATCAAAACATTTAAGAAAATACATTTACAGTCAATACACGTTCATTTTTCTTAAAAATCAATTTCAAAACTTAGACTAGGTATAGGCTTTTATAACCACGAATTTAGTGACACCTAAAACCAACGAACTTCAGCGTATTATTGTTGATATAAATTACCCTTAAATTAGATTGTCGAAGAGCTAGCCCATAGCCTGATTCACTGCGACCTTTTCAGATCCATTGTGATGCTTCTTGGTTGTTAGAGCTCATTGACTAGCTTGATCTTTTTGATGAGACTCCATAGCCTTGACACTGACCTCTTCATATAGCTGACATCTTGCGTGTCTCAGCCTTGCTATCGCTTCGCATTCACAGATCACATGCAGTGCGGTTTCTTTCTCTTCTTGACAGAACCTGCATTGGGTTTCTTCTGTATGACCCATGTTGCTCATATGTTTCCTGAGCCAGCTATGCCCCGTTAGTAGACCTACCACTAACCTTACAACCTTACGGTTGTGGTTTAGCAGGTCTTCCGTGAATCTGGGCGATGATTTATTTATGAACTCTTTCGCCTGTCCCATTCCTGGGAGCTTATTCCACCAATATATCGATTTGGCTTGAATCCATGAGTTTATGGATGTCTTTATACATGCTTTCGCTACCTCGCAGTAGGGTTCTGGGCCAATCAATACCTTTGATGCGCCTTCACAGGTTAGAACATCGGCCTACTCATTGCCCATGTGACTCTCATGTTCGGGTACTCAAGCTAGAGTGACCTTATTTTGGGTACTTAGCTCCTTGAGTGCGTTCAGAAAGCTTCCCACCAGTCTTGAGAAGACTTGAAATGAGCTGAGCGCTTTAATTGCCGCCTGGCTGTCGAAGAAAATGGCAATGGTTTTATTTGTGACCTTCCGCCTGTTTATTTCCCTTATACAGTGTTCGATGACCTCTACTTCTGCCTGGAACACAGTTACATTATGTCCGAGGCTGAGTGCGATTCTCGTCTTTGCTCTGTCTCCGTATATACCGGCTCCCATTACTTCTTGGGTCTTTGAGCCATTTGTATACCAAGTTTCTTTCGCTTTTACCGGTGGCCATTTTGCCAGTACTCTCTACTTGATATGATGATTTTGAAATCTTTTTGAAAGTTGTACTGCGGAACTGTGTTATCAACGGGCATTCCTAGTATTGGATCTGCCTTTAGTTCATTATACAGTTTCAAGTATTTTGCACGGTGTGACTGGCTGATTGGGGCTTGTCCCTGCATTAGCCTGTGTGTCACCAGTCGAGCTTCTCTTTGTATGTAGATGTGTATTGGTGGAAGTCCGAGTAAGACCTCAAGTGCTGCAGTTGGGGTCGTTCTCAAGGCTCTCGCAACACTTAGGCACGCCAGCCTTTGTATGCCGCCTAATAGCCTAGCCGTACCTGATTGCTTTGTTCTTGTCCACCAAGTCACTACACTGTATTCTATCATGGGTCTCACTACCCTTGTATATAACCAGAGTGTCATTTTTTGGTTCTGCAAATTCCCAGGACCATCCTGGCCTTATGTGCTGTTTTTTGGATGTGGAAGTCCCACGTGAGCCTGTGATCGAAAGTCACACCTAAGTATTTGACTTCCGTGGCGAAAGAGATCTCCACTTCATTGAGTATTGGTGCTTTTAGTCCTCGCATCACTCTTTTCCTTGTGAACACGACGACAGTGGTTTTTTGGGCATTCACTGAGAGGTTCTCATGCTCGCAGCATCTGCGACGATGTTCAAGGCTCTTTACATGCGCTCCAAGATGATGCCTGCAAATCTCTCTTTTGTGACTATCACCAGGTCGTCAGCATATCCCAGGCAATATATGCCTTCTTCAGATAGCTTCCTAAGGAGATCGTCTACTATTGTTGCCCATAGCAATGGCTATAGTACGGTTCGTGTGGGCACTCCTTCTTTGCTCTTACCTATATGGTAGCCCCTCCTATAGTGGTGTATATCATCCTTCTTTCTAGGCTGGCTTTTATCCATCGACACACGACAACTGGTACTCCTCATTTTCCCAGTGCGTCTATAAATGACTCCGTGGAGACATTATTAAATGCACCTTCGATGTCTAGAAGAGCAGCTACTGCCATTTCTTTGTCGTCCGGCGACTTAGATAGTAGTCTGTCGTCCAGCGCTAAATCTGTCGATTTCCCAGGCTGGTACGCATATTGACGAGCACTAAGAGGTCTTTCCTTCAACGTTTCATGTCTTATGTATCGATCCAGTAACTTTCACTTTTTGCCATGATTTTGGAATATATCCCCAGGACACGCAGGCTCTGAGAATCCTGCCCAGATGTGGTATCAGCACATCCAGTCCCTTTTGTAGCAGCATCGGGTAGATTCCGTCTATTCCTGGTGACTTGTATGGTTTGCATTTTTGGATCGCCCATCTGATCCTATCCGGTCTCGTGGTTTCGGCGACCAGGCTCCAGTCCCCCGCCGTTGGCCTTCTGTGTCTTGTTGGGAGAAAGGAAGCCCCCCTCCCGAGAGCCCAGGTTAATATATCGCTGGGAAATGGGCTGTCAATGATAGCCTTATACTTTCCCTTTCAGTTTTTGTGTAGGTTCCGTCCTCTTTTTTGAGGAAACCCACTAAGCTCGCAGTATTTTCCTTGGCAAGTATTTGGTTTATTTTTGCACATGTGGGTGTTTCTTCCATCTCCATGCAAAACCTCCTCCATGAGTCTCTTTTTGCCTTCCAGATTTTTTTTATACTGCGTAAGTTTTTTTCCTACATGTGTCCCAGTCTTGGTTTCCTTTGGCTTTGTTAAATTACCCTTGGTACAGAATGGATTTTTTTCCATTTCAGCCCGTTTCGACTGTGTATGGTTTGAAATTGATCCAAATAAAAAATGACCCTGTAAATCCTGTGATAGACTCTTACGTATCTGAGAAGAACCTAAAGAACATTCAACATAATGACTGTTTGAAGATAGTATTTTCAATTGACTATTTACTAAGAGACAGGATAATCCCCCATATTGATGAAACTGGAAGCCTAGAAAGGGAAATATGTTATGAGGCCTTAAATAAATTGTGCTATGATCCTGTATTCATCGAGGAACTAGGTAGGTGAATACTCTTTTAATTTTATTCTAGTGACTACAAATAGTTCAACTTACATTCAAAACTGCCCGTTTAAAGACATTAAAATATGTTCAATCTATGGGTAAAGTTTTTTTTATAATAAGAGACGTGATACCTAAAGTATAGAAAATCATTAACTTCACTAATTATTTTTTCCGATTCATTACTGAATCAACATTGATCAATTCTCTGATTCAAGTATAATTTAGTGTTATATTTCGAGTGCATCAATTTAAAACGAACAAAAATTTCAGAATATGTATAGGAACGATCATCAAACATGTACACGGAATACACGACACTGAAATATATGTTCGACACAAAATTCGCGGTTATAAATATCGAAGAGTAGAGAAAGAACATACTCGGTAGAAACACCTGTTATATAGACGGCAAACCTAGCAAACCGAACATGGAACAGTAGCTGGAATCAACTTTCCAGGCAGACACAATCTTGTAATGCCTAAGAAACATCAATTTGAAGCTTCATATGCAATTTTGCAATTTTGCAATCGTTTTACAAGAAACATCGATGGGCGGATTAATATTTTCATAGCAGTCAGGCAGCACTTGGGACAGTGACGAACTCAAAAGTGATATCCAAACTAATCTGAGAAAATCGTGAAGAACTAAGGAAACTGGCGGACGGGAATAGACGGACTGGTTACCAAGACACTAATATGTAATCAAAAAGCTGATAAGTATGCCAGAAGGAACAACCCTCATAGCTGTAAGGGTACCAAACCCTTTCGTACGGAACCAGATTGGGAAGTGGATCTATAAGGAACATATAGGGTACTGGGAAAATAGACCTGCAACACACACGTGTACATCTTCATAAAGGTACCGTCCAAGAAGATAATTGAAAAAGGCTTCAACAAAGCAGGGATCGCTTCAAAATAATTACAGGCTTACTTACTGGACACCACCCATTGAGAAGACACCTGAACAAAATAGGACTGTAAGACTGTGACGTAAGCAGCATACAATGCAACTAAAGACAAGAAACAGCTCAATTCATTTCCTCTTTTTATATTTATGAACACTCTGGCTTGTGAGTTCGAATCAAAAAATGGTATGGTTACAAGTTGACATTTTTAGTGATGTATATTGGAATTCCTATATAAGGTTGTTTTATTTTCATTTGTATTTATTGGTGTCATCGAAAAGATGGCATCTAGCCTATGAGGCTATAGGTTTTTCGGTGACATGAAGGAAATGGACAAGTCAGACAGCCCCCAAGGCTATGGGGGAGTTTGATATTGTAGTCATACAAAAAATCTGGCTATACCGAGCAAAAACTATGAATGCGGAAATGGTCAAGGAGTATACCAGAATCTAGAAAGATAATCTCGAGGAAAACTCCGGTTTCAACAAATAATCAAAAAACGAACACCGTGGAGAACAGAAAACCAGGAGGGGAGACTTAAAGAGAGCTCATCCTAGAGAGGTTTGTCAGGTAACACAGAAAGTGGTAGATTTGAAGAAGATTAACGAGGTTGTAAACTTATTTCAAACATGTACTCATAAGATGCAAGGACAATACAGTATTTATTCAATATTCTGTTCAAAAAACTGTTTTCAATCCTCAGAGCAAGTTTGGCTCTGCGACACATATACCTAAAGGACGAAGACATACTATTTAGGACCACCTACATAACACAACCTGCGAATATCGAATAGGATGCGATAAAATCCTTGAGACCAATAAATCTAACGTCATTTGCATTGAAAACTATTTGAATGAAACATTTGACAGGCATAATAGGATAACAAAAACGGCTGAACAAATTAATGTTGTGCAACAGCGACTTTATCCAAAGGTGAGGACACTATCCAAAAACAGACTTCTACAGATTATTATAGAGAAGAAGATTGTTGTAACAGGTCTTATGGAAATATGGGAGAAAAACTACAATAAATCTATAAGGCTGAAGAAGGATGCAAAATATATATCTAGGAAAAGCACTGATAAATTCCAAATTTATGGATATTTTTGTCACTGCATATTTTAGTCAAGGTTTTGTTCACTGTTCTCTTCGATTACCGCGTGGCGTAGTGCATCAAGAGTATTATATGTGGACTTGGCCTCGACTGAAAATTGTTATAACATGGACGAATGCAGGGAAATATGCCAATTATTAGTGGGGATATCTTCAAGTCCAATGAAAGTTGAGAACTTCGTTTCTAACTCGGGTTCTCTAACAGTTTCACTGTAAAAGATTTTTAGAGCCTTATATTAAAAAATATACTTTAAAATGGTGCAGAATAACCACAATGGAACTCGTTTATTGATATATAATGTAGTTCACATTCGAATTAGGCGGTCAAGTGACAGATTTTTTGATGGCAATAAGACACTGCCATAAAATCTGAATAGAATGGTTTTATAAACTGTCTTACAAAAATAACAAATCATATGCAAATAACCATACATTAAGTATGCTTTTTGAATGTTTTTTAGTTGAATCGGAAAACCATCACAAGTTAATCAAAACATTCGTAAATGATGAAGAACTCAAAGAAAATGAACTGAAGGCCTTGTTGGCAACAATTTGTCATCTATTTCAAAAAGGTTTCATTACTGACACTTCACACAATTTTCTTCAAAAAACGATCAAAATAATCAAGAAAGATGTAGACAATGACTCAAGAGATCATGTAAAATATGCACTAGCAATTTTACATAAAATCCTTATTCAGAAAGATCCTACATTCCTCAGATGGAAAGAACAGGTAAATTATATTTGTTTAATTTTTATCAATTCGAGCAATTCAACAATGAATCATTCATTAAAATACTAACACAAAATTTTAAGTCTTTATGACTGATCTCCAAGTTTCAAATGTAATATTGCTGAATTTATTTATTCATTTAGACTGAACACTGAATGTATCCTTGATTTTTTGCGATAAAACTCCTGGTGTTTGAACCCTCATATGTGAAATGAAAATCTGAATTTTTACTTGAATAATCATGGATATAAACCATGACAAGAATGTTCCTGTATTATTTGTTGAATTATATTTTTAATAATTTGTTCAATTGAATATATAATTATATCCCAACGAACATCACTGAGTTTCAGATAATAAAAGAAGTACCCATTACCTGTATCACTCCTTATTTTCTAAATAGAAGTGCGGTGGGAAAACGTCTACAATATGGTGCTCTCCTTTTGATAAATACCATCATAAGGTTGTGTAAAGGAGACCAAAAGAAACAGTTGATTAAAGAAATGAACTTGGCCAAGAACAGGGAAAACATTTATAAATATATAATTGAGCCGGGAGAATTGGATAAGGATATGCAACATGAGTTATATGTTATTCAGACCTACTTGCTAAGGTAAGTATAACTCCTACAGAATGGAAATGAAGTTAGGAGTCGTATAAATATGGTAAAAAAATGTATTTATGTGAATTATAATAATATTTTTCATCAGCCTTCAGCTCGATGTTAGTCGAAAAACACAATTACACTTTCACGATTTTTTTTTCAGTTACAATTCAGTTTTAACGGTAACAAAAATTCAAGTATTTCTGGTGTAACTAATAGAGCTACGATTATAAAACTAGCAAGAATTAGAAATATTTTGATTATTACTGTCTATTGCAATATGTTTCCCAAGATACGAGACAAGCCAGTCCTGAGTCTTTTAAGCATAGCTAATGTTTTGATAATAGATATGTACCCAATTAAATAATGTATGTGTATTACCAACATGAGCAAAATTGTCCTTAGTATAATCCTTGCTATAATCTATTCTCGGCCTTTCTTTTCTTCAAAAATGAAAGATATTATTACATCCTAAGGACAAGTTTTATTTATTATTAGCACTCATCTGACATTAGAATGTTGAAATTTGAGCACTCTCTATTCATTCGAGGAGTTGAGAAAAAAATTCCTGATCTATTTAAAAGTAGCACACGCAAGTATACATACAATATTCTCAACTTCATATTGGGTATCCTAATTACTGTCAAAGTTCATCTGTTTCTGAACTAGTTAGATAAACTTCTGTCAACATGATTAGTTCATATATCATACATTTTCTTCGCCTAATGCCATTTTAATCAACTCACATAAACAAACTTATTTACCTAATAATAAATAATGGCACAACTATCAATCAAATATATTTGTTTTGTCCTCGAGGATGAAACAAATTTATCGATGCGACATCATGCAAAGAAACATAGAAGTTTTAAAATTAATTACCTAAAAGTCAGATATAATTCTACAAATGTTTGTTCTGAATCAAATTACATGATTTTTATGATAGAATATTTTTTAATATTCGTTATTTGTTTTGATTCCTTACATTCAACAAACTGATATTAGGTATATAAATTTGACTGTACTGATTGAAAAAAAATATCTTGATGAGTATTTTGAAGAGTTTGAAAGTATTTGTTAATAATTTTATTCCCTTCAAAGTAGTCCCCCTCAGATATAATACACTTGTGCCAGCATTTTTTCCAATCCTCGAAACAGTTGTGATATGCACTTTTTGGTATGTCTTCGATCTCTCTAAGAAATCGTCGCAAAATGCCGTCCTTTCATAGGTCCCTTAATCTTGGGAATAGGAAAAAGTGAACAGGGAGGCAAATCTGGTGAATACGGCGGCTGACGCATGATTACGGTGTTGTTTTTGGCCAAAAAATTACGAACAAACAATGCACTCCAGATGCACTTTGCCACGGTAATAAAAAAAAAAATTGATCAAAACCTTGACATTTGATCGAACTTGGCGTGTTTTCTTGGTCTTGACACTCCTGGGCTCTTCTATTGTGACGATTGGACTTTGTTTTCGATGTTATAACCATGTACCCATGATTCGTCACCAGTTATGACTCATTTAAGCAAATCTGGATCGCCGTTGACGTCATTTAACAATTTTTGAGCGATGCTCATGCGACGGTTTTTTTTGGTCAAAATTCAGCAATTTTGGAATGAACTTCACTGCCACACGCTTCATGCCCGAAATTTACAAAAAAAATGCATGGCATGAGTCAACTGATATGCCAATATCCTCAGCAACTTCTATAAAAGTGATTCGACGATTCACCATGACAATATTCTTCACTTTCGCAACATTTTCATCGGTTGTTGGTGTGATAGGGTGTCCAACAACAAACTGAACATGCTGAACAACTGAAACTGTGAACATATGTTGGAGACGAGTGTACCAACATAAAAAATCGCTAATCGAATGTAGGTAGCCCGCGAAATTTGAACATTCACCTCATTTTCTTAAACAATCCACATATATCTAGAATTTGATGTCTATAGTACTTTCAGATTGTCCACAATATGAAATAGCAGGTCTCAACTTTCTTGTCCGTAGGCTTGTTTGTTACACTTGAGTAACAGGTATTGTTTTCAGGAACATATAGCTGAAAGCAATAGATATTCTTCAAATATAGCTAGTAGATAATTTGATTAGAAAACGTATGGGGAGTATTTTTGTAAAACTTCAACTTGTCAAAAAGACAGATTCAAAGTTTATTTTTAAAAAGTTGAACGCGAAAGAAGCCTTCAAAACTTCCTGTTCACTTCAACAAATGTTGTCAGAAATATATTGAAAACTAGAGCTGTTCACCCTGAACACATCCCAGACTATACTTTCCAAAAACATTTTGCTTGCTTGCTAACTTGTATCCTTTGCCAACATGATGATGATTATGTACCTGTGATGCACTGTTTGGAACCTTTGGTGTAGTAATGAATATTACTGGAGTTTTTTTCCAAAAACAAACCGTTATTTTAACACCTCGACACGTTTTTCAATCACAAAGTGATCATCTTCAAGAGGAAGATCATACTAAACAGTTTAGTTTGATCTTCCAAACCGTTATTTTAACACCTTGACACGTGTTTCGATCACCAAGTGATCATCTCCGAGAGGAAGATCAAACTAAACAGCTTAGTTTGATCTTCCTCTTGAAGATGATCACGTGGTGATCGCAAAAGTGTTAAAATAACGGTTTGGTGTTGGGAAAAAACTCCAGTAAAATTAATGATGATGATGAGGGAGGGTGTTTGGCATTAGAATGTATTCTATTTGCCACAGAAATTTGAAATAGGCATACATTGCTCTATTTTTAATTTACATTTTTTCGTAACTTTAATTATAGCGTCGTTAATTTCCTTTTTTTATTGATAGTAGACTTACGATATCAATGGGAAATTGCATATTTAGTGAAATTGACTCTGTGAGAAGCTCCGACGTGTTTCTGGAATTATTTGCATATTCAAAAAATAAATGCGAACTTTCAATGGCCTCTTAGTTTCACCGATGTATGATTCTCCGCACTCGCAGGGTATCCGGTAAATGCAATTCTTGGAATCGCAGTCCGTGTTTGGTGGCCTGGTTTTCGTGAGACTGCTGCGGATAGTGTTCCCAGATCTGAAGCAGGTCTGATGTTATACTTGGACCCACTCCTTCTATTCTTTCCGACAATCCTTTGATGTAGGGAAGTACAAGTACTGATTGTGGCGGCTTCTCTTCCTTGTGGAGCTCTTTTAGCTAAAGCCTTCACTTTGGAGTAAGCCCGAAAGCACGGTTTAGTAGAGTTTTGATGATTCTTCTTTCAGTCGATTGATGGTGGTTGGATTCCAGGTTCAGATACTGTCCCGTGTGAGTAGGTTTTCGATATACAGATCCCATTTAGTGTCGATCCTCTTCACCAATACGTCAAAGAATGGCGAATCGTTGTGGACTTTCTTCTCCATTGTGAAAGTGATGGAAGAACTTACGTTGTTGATGTGCTTCAGGAAAGTGTCTAGTTCTGCGTTCCCGTGGTTCCGTATTATGAAGGTGTCGTCCACGTATCTCAACGGGATGCTAATGGGATCGCCACTTTCACCAGTCAAGGAGCACACAGAAAAACCAAAAAAATTGAACTATTAACACGAGTTGAAAAATTAAAAAATTATTAACAACAAATGAAAATTAAAAATATGAAATTATGAGATTCCAAACCAAGTTACTTGGTTTACTGGACTTATTCCTGCCTGGGGTGGGATAGATGAAAAATCTATTCATCCATTAACGGGGGACATGAGGGCCTTCATTCGACAGAGTGTCTTCTATATCGGGAGGGGTCGTCTACAGCATAATATATAGCTTCCCTAACTAACGTGGACTTATTCTTTCGAGATCTGACCATTTATAGGTCATTCGACTGTTTTCCCTTATCCACTTTTCGCTCTCTCCGCTTCATTGGTTTTAAGTGGGACGGGAGTTGGTCATGTTCCGCTTGATTAGAGCTTTCCATATGTTACGCTAGCTTGGCTAAATACGTTGGTGGACAACTTATATGCGGTTTCTTTGAATTTTCTCATAAACCAGTGTTCCTCCTTGTGGATGATTTCAGCTTGAGCCCACTTGATGTTATGTTGATGAGTCCAAACATGCTCTGATATTCCGGATTTGCTGGTTTCTCCTCGCTGTGTGTGTTTCTTGTGCTCAGCAATGCGAACTTTCAATGGCCTCTTAGTTTCACCGATGTATGATTACCGGTGAAAGTGGCGATCCCATTGGCAGTCCCTCATCTTGCGTAAAGAGTTGTTCTTTCAGTTGGAAGTAGCAGTTTCGTACACAGCATCCTAGTAATTCCATGATTACTTGTATCTTTCAGGTCCCCATCTTCGGATAGCTTCTTCTGTATGATTTGAAGTGCTTCTTCGACAGGAACCGTGGTTTAGAGGCTTTCCACGTCGAAACTGATCAGTTGATCCTACTCTTTGACTAAATAGTCAAATCTTGAAGGAATAAGTCCAGTTATCACCCGAAGACAATCGAAAAGTCGTGAAGTAACTTGGTTTCATTTCTTGTTAATATTTTTTTAATTTTTCAGCTCGTGTTAATAGTTTTTTTTTTGTTTTTTTTTCTTATTTCTTGCATGTTATTTCATTGTAATTTAAGTTTTTTGCCTAGTAAAATTGTTCTTTCAGCTAATCTTTTCAATTTTTTTACAGATTTTCTCAGCGACTTCAAATCTATTTATATCATATTATATTAGGCAATGGAAGTCCGAACTGATAAAATTAAAAAAAAATTATTGAAATTTCCAACTGATACACCATCACATGAACATCATTTATCAGAATTAGTTATACCAATTTTGGTTAGATGTGAAGAAAAGCAACTAGGATTTAATTTTAATTTACTGATGGTAGAAAAATAGGAATTAGGTACCCTGTATTTTGAAATGAGAGAAATATCCTTTGGTAATGAGGGATGTAGGAGTGTATACTGGTTGTACGAACAAAAGTCAGACATCTTTTTTCCAGTGGTCTTTTTGTAAAGTTTTCACATAACTGATTTGACCTTTATTTTCGAAAACATGGTTGATATCATTGAGAGAAGTTGGATTTTTGGCTGCTTTATCAGCTATTTCATTATCGCTCAAACCTGCATGTCCTTTGGTCCAGATGAAGATGACATTGACATAGTTTAATGTATAAGTTTGAAAATATCCTTATAGGACGAAACTGCAGTAACGTTAGTTACAAATGAAAGTAATAAAAAATATAGAAAGTTTCAATTCTCTCTTCTTCATGGTGATTTGATATTTTACTCGAAGTTTTTCTAACGATGCATATCAGTTCGTGTTCAAGGTTTATTTGAAACTCATTTAATAATGAGTAAAGAACCGATTTCGAGCCCACTATCAATACGGCACTTTTAATACTTTCTCAGCAAAGCTCTTTCAGTAGCTACAGAACAATTGATCTGAATCCGAATTTTGTCCGTTTCTTTGGTGTTTGAGATGTAGAATGCACAGCCTGTACCACCTGTACTTATTTTAGAACCATCTGTATGGATAATTGTATCATTTGTGTAATTGCTCAGTATTGAATTCGAAAGCATTTTATTGTTTAAGGGATTATCGCTGCAACTAGGGAATATCACTGTCGATCTGGATATAAAAGTATCAAAATCACAATAGAAAATCGGCCATTTATTGAATTGGCGAATGTCTAATGAACTTGTTGCAATGAATGCATTTGTTAAAGAAGAGAATAAACGTACAACGTACAAAACCAATTTTCTCCCATTGTCATCATCATTATCTGCTTAGTTGTCATTCTCATTATTAGGAATTTGATCTAGCTTATTATCAATTTAGTTATTCATTCAAAACCAATGGTATTAAATTCCAATCACATGAATTTCAATAACAAAAACCCTTCCATGAATATGAAGTTCAATATTTTTCAATAATTAATATTGAAATATTTTTGATATTTAAGTTTATATGACGAAGCTATGAAAAGTGAAGTTAGTCTTACCGACAACAACGTGTTCAAAAGAGAAGAATTTGAACTAGAAGAAGGTGATATCAAGAGGGTCACGGTGCTAATGGATTTTGATGAAGTTGACATATCAAACAAAAGTTCAACAGTTGAAACAATGTTGGCGTATAGCCAGCCTGAGAGGTGAGTTATTTATATAGCATTGAAATAATTGAAAATTAGAAAAAAATAATTGAAGTTCAATCAGAGCATTCTTTGGAGCAAATATTCTAGAAAATTTTGCGTCACACAACCAGCATCGTTTTTCATATTTTTCTCGAGAAAAAAACATCTAAAAGGTTGAAGTCGGGTTATCTCGTTGGCCACCTATTGGAACTTTTTCATCTATTCTTTGATTTGAATTGGCATGAAAAATAAAACAATTCCGATCCCCTATAGAACTCGGAGTTCTTAAAGGGAGGCGATAGAAATTCAGAAGCACAGAAATTGTTTCAACCAAAAGAAAGAGGTATTCAACACAAATTGAATCTAGCTACCACCATTTAATTGCTCTCATATCAGGTCATTTGATCCAACCTTTAGGAACGAAGCCAGGTCCACTACCAATGAAATAAATTCGGAAACCCAAACCAATTCTGCACTATCTGCTTTGAGGACAACAACACTTGTTGCCTCACCATCTTGATAATGTTTGCCGCAGTAGTAAACGAAACGTCAGGCATACAAATCTGCAGGTCACGGCAAATAAACCTAGAAAATAACTTCGGCTCAATTTACTCAGATGTTGAATATTTCAGTAAAAAATGAACACTAACGTGAAAAGATTATAAATTTTTTTTCAGAAGATGAGTTATTTCATCAACTTGGTCTAGTCAAAAACTATTTGAATAAATATTTTCTCGGCCATCGAATCATTGGCAGGGTATCGATTAAATAGCCACCAAGATTTCTTAACTGTAAACCATCTAATTTCTTTGAAAATATTTGAAAAACAGATAGATGTGTTCTATCCCTCTCCCGGATATTTGTGTAATGAGCATGTTAACGAATGCACCAATAAGGCTAAAGTTTTTATATAAAATATTGACAATCCTTTTGAATAAACTTTGTGTTGTGTGTATAGGAGGATGAGAAATTAAGGATCACTACAATATTTTAGTTGCGTTATTATTAATGCTATTTTTTACAAATTATTTCTTCAGATTAGAAATGTTGTTACAATTCTGGAGAGCTGAGTGACATTTTGAATAATTTGATACTATACAACTATACTTCCATTAAAGATGTGAGAAAATTACATTCGACGTGATTGAGTACATGTTTCAGTTTTGGTAAAAATGAAAATAGGGGACAAATGAGTTACATTGTGTTAAGATTAAAATGTTTTATGCATCAAATATTTGTATTTCGAAAAATTATGTGACGGAATAATAAAGATTGCATTTTTATATCATTAAATACATCAAATGGCGAAGTTCAAGAATCTGAGATATATGAAATTAATTCATTATAACATTAAAATTAACAGTTCAAAAATAACTTTTCAATACGCTCAAAGGTGCGAACTCGTTTCCTCCTTTTCATAAAAGGGGATGTATGCATCTCCACTCACAAGCGATTTTGGTGAAATTGGTGACACGTGTGAATCATTGTATTCGTGCCACGTGCCAGTATAGGGATGTCTGCAGAATTCTATATAATGTCCGCTGTAGGTAGACCCATTGTGATTCGAAAGTGCATATATGTTATAACGACAAAGAGTCACATTGTCTGCTGCATAATTGTTGATATCTAATCCATCTAGAGGAAATTCGTTGGCAACATTTACCTTGCCTCTAAATCTTTCTCTTAGAGAGAATATTTTAAAATGAATGACTAAATTACGGGGAAACTTATGGATTGATAGAGACTTTGTGCATTTTCTTCTTTCCTTGCAACTTGAACACGTCAGTTTTTCATGTCCATCCAAAGTTTCCTCCCATGTGAAGAAATCCAAGCATTGTGATAAACTCAATTGGCCAGTTCTTTGTAGTATGGGGAGTGACAAATCCCAGAAAAGATCGAAAGTTACAGATGAGTGTCCACATTGTGCACTTCATCGTGGATTTTTATTGACCAATGAAATTATCTACAATCTTAGAGTTATATGTACTCAAATAAATCAGCCATGACTCTTGTGCTTTCCGCTATCGCTCAATTTTTTGTTAATCTCCGTTAAGGTCGGTTTAGGTTTCTCATTAATTCTATTAACGTCATCATGTGAACCTTCTAAAATATAACGAAGGAACTCCTGGGCGACTTGATGCGCATGACCCATGAATCGAGGGGCAAAACTCTGAATCTGACTTCTTAAGGAGACTGTGTTCACTGCTCTATCAGATGAAATTTCTGACCACAATTCCTTGATAACTTCTGCGAAAGCTTTGATTAAAACACCCTGCATACTAGAAATATTAGTATTGATATCTTTCATGTACTCATCCTTTTTCAAATATTCCAGTAACCATCTCGTATTTGATAAACACTGGATACACTGTTCATTGAAACAGGTGTTGCCAATATTTTTCAACCCATTAAACCCAAGAGTTTTGACTAAGGAATGTATCACTGATCTTTGTTGTAGCTGTTGATGATACGTTCGCCACTGCTGTTTTCTACTAGTAATCACGGATGCGATGATTCTTCCCATCATTGGACCAACGGAATGAGGAATTTGAAGTTAAATTGCTTGAAACTGAATTAGTTTTTGGAAGTTTTTTCGAATTTGTGAGAAAATGATAATTACAGAACTTGTTTATTTTCCTCTGCATCTTCTGAGAAAATCGGGAATGATCAATCTGTCTACTCCATTTTGCTTTGTTCATAGGAAATTTTGATTTGATTCAGGAATATTTCATCTGATTTTTGAGTAGACGGAAGAGTACCCAATATCGATGTGGCATTATCCCTTTGAATGGCGATACTGATTCTTTGAATTAAAAATGAATAGGCTTTGGCTTTGAATCTGGTCATTATTACGCCTTGGTCAAAGACGAAATGGACTGGTTTAAGTTTGACGATAGTCGTGTCTCTAAGTGTTCTGGCGATGTATTGAATTCATTGGAGCCTCTGGAGACACCCTACATTTTGTTTCATGAGAGAGAGGACATTGGCAGATCAAGATCTTCAGATGATGTGGTGCTGCAGTTTTTCCAGGTTTTCCTGCAGCTTAAAAAGCAAATGCGCTACTGGAATCAATGAAGTCGCCCCGGAGCGCCAATTAATTTTTATTGTTGTTTTATAATTTCATGATTTGTATTTTGGAAGTGTTATTTAAAGACATGTTTATTCATTTATCAACATGTAACCCCCCATATTATCTGATACTACATAATTTTTTCCTTATAGGTGGTCTTTAGCCTCTCTAATGAGTGACAAAAGTCAGAGTTCAAGAAAGTCATCATTTGCGTATAGCTCGAAATCAAGAAATGCAAGTATCTACCTTGATTATGAAATGTCATCAATTAGCTACTTGACGTTAGAAGCTTTGCGTGAGTAGATATTCAGTATTTCTGAATGAATATTATCTATACAATTTTGTTTGCAATATGTAATATTATTCTGAAATGAATTATTGGGTTGTTTCAAAAGTTTTGTCCGTTTTTATGAGTTTATTTTGAACTGTAATATTTCATTCAATTCAATCTAAATGAGCATCATTTGAACGTAACACAAGTCGATTAATTCCGTCAGCTTGGGATTCGAAGAAGTCGACGAAGGCAGTTTTTGCCTAGTCCTGATTGACGAAGGTTCTAACGGTGAGAAAGTTATCAAAATGCTGTTGGCGAGAGATCTGGGGAGTATGGTGGGTGAGACAGAACTTCGATGCTCAATTCGTTTAATTTTCAGACGGTGATTTATGAAATAAGCCTTGTTGTGGAAAAGAATCGGACCTCTTCTCTTGACCAGTGCCGGCTGCTGCTGACGTAATTTTTGGTATATTTCGTCAATTTTTCCACAATACGACTCTGCAGTGATGATTTGGCCCTGTTGCACAAAGTTACAGTGAATCACACCAGCCTCTGATAACCATACGGTAACTATGGTCTTTTTTTGGTGGGTTTTCGCCTTTGGTAAGGCATTGGGTGACTCATCGGTGTTCAACCACTGTTCTCAACGTCTCCTGTTGTAGAAGATCCACTTTTCATCACACGTGACGATCTGATCCAAAATAAAAAGATATTTTTGGTCGCGCAAAAGCAAAGAAGAACAGACCTGCAAACGTGAGAATTTCTGTCGATCATTCAAATCGTAGAGCAACCACTTTTTGCCTTTTGACCTTTCCAATACGTTTTAGACCATCCAAAACCGCATGGGATCTGACGCCCAGTTCTTACGCCATTCCACGCACCGTTTGTGATAGGATTAAAGGTCAAAGTCAAAATATGCTTTATTGTCTGAAGATTCATATCTTATTCACAAAGCTTGGTTAAAATAATTAAATAAAAAAACAAACAAACAAAATTACACATGTAATTTTTCTCTAGAATTTCAAAACCTTTATCAACCTTTGCTGGCAGCTAGTACATAAGAGACCGTATTATTTGAGCATGATTTTTATTTTCAAAATTACGAGTGGGATACAACCAGCCTATCTTAGCAGATATTTAGTTCGAAATAGTGCCATTCATTCTTATAACACAAGAACATGTAATACATTTTATAGATCCCGAACAAACTATAAGAGTGAAATGAATTCATTGTTCTTTAAAGGTCTAGATAGTTTCAATAAGTTACCTGATGAAATAAAACATGTAAATTCCTTAAAAGTATTCAAAAAGTTATTATTAGAATATATCAAATTGTAATACATGACGCACTGTAAAATTATATATGTAACTATATAACTGTATATTGTATATTAGGATTCCTAAAATGAAGTGTACTACTACTATTACCATCTAACCTGAAAGACCACTCAGCATACAAACTAATCGGCTTCGTTAA